CTGAGCTCTTTTTTAGAGCTGCCCATGTTTCCTGTCTCTCTAGTTTTATCATGTGGAGAGCAAATACTGAAAAAACCCCAAACCTCTGCATTAAAACATTTCCCGAAGTATGGACGTCACTGACAGATTTTCACTGGCATTTTTCAGTGACAGGGGAAAAGTGATTCCTTAGACAATATATTCTTGTTTCTTTTTCATCAGAATAAAATTTTTGTCAACTCAGAAAGGCTACCCTAAATATCTTAGGTTCAAGGAAAAAAAAAAGAAAAAAAGAAAAAGGGGGCAACCCTCCCTCACACCCTCCCAAACCAGTAAAGTTTAAGCCCAACTAAGGTTTTGACAATTTGAGCAGAGAGATGTTATTTTGGAAATGCAGTCAAAACTGAAAAGTTTCTCAAAGTTTGCTATGGGAAAATGGCTGCCACATTTAGTCGGTGTCACAAAAAATCCTCAATAGCTCATTAGAGAGAGAGAAAAACAACCAGTGTGTCCCTGGAATATCCAGGACTCCAAATTGGCAAGATTCACCAGGTAATCCTTTTACAGTAGAGGTATGCAGTGAAAGTATCCAAGCAATCCAAGAATAATAAAAACATTAAGTATAGGCTTTGTCTCCCTACAGAACATATGGACTTAAATGCCTCTTGCAGAGATTTATCACACATGAGAATGTAGTATATTTTTACTGCTCCTTCTTGCTCTTTTACTCATCAAATACTGGAGTTTTCCAAACATGATGCTCTCAAAGACTAAATCCTTAGCTGGTAGAAAACGGGATCATACAGCTTATTCCCTCTGCAGCTATACTGATTTGCACTGGCTGCAGATCAGTCCTGTATATTACCTAGGCATAGAGTAGAGTTGCTTTATTTCTTTATTCCTGTTTGATTTCAATTTCAAAAATAAAACTGTCTTACAAAGTACATGTTTACAAGCGAGTCAAAACCCATTACATGGAAACTATTTAATTGTAAGCAGGTTAGATCAGCTTTCCTATGATAACATCTTCTGATATCGGTGTCTCTTTCTTGTTCAGGCTTAAAACTTCTCTTGCAAAATCCCCTTGTATTCCTTTGAACTCCCCTGGGAGATTAAAAAAAAAAAAGAAAAACCCCTCCAGTTAACACTCCCTCATTTCATTTTTAAAGGTCATGCTTAGAGCTGGCAGTTGTTATAGGAGCTGTCCTCTGTAAAGAAAAGTCTTAACTAGCCAGGCACAGACTTAACCTCAACATGGAAAAACTAACATTGTCACTAGGATATGGAGAAACCATGGTGAAGAGCTAGCAACAGCCAGACCACGGCAGAATGAGCAGTCGGCATCTGCTCGGTGGGCCTTTATCATGCAGTGTTGTATGTACGATTCAAAATGCACAGGACGATTGTTGAAATGATGTAGACAAATTGACTCAAATTAGTTTAGCATGGGCCATGCAAAGTTTAAGCTTGTTGAGCCCAGACACATAGCAACAGCTCCGCGCGGCCTCGCGCTCGCGGCGCAGGCACACAACGGGCACCGCAGCCCGCCTTCGCGCCTTTTGTGCCTGCCTGCCTCTTTTCTTTCCATTTTGCCCGGCTCTAGACAGTCTTGGCAGAAGCAAACCCTGCTGAAGAATATGCTAGCACTGATAATTTTATAGAAGTACTTGTGAGCTTTAATGTCATTTTATACTTCCTTAATCTTTTGACTGTTACTTAATGACAAACAAATCCCCAAAGAACTGGGGAGGTGGGGGGAAGATTAAAAGGATTTTGAGATTGTATTCTCTGCTTTCAGTCAAACTGTCCCAAATCCTGCCAACACAATTCTCCAGTGCCCTATGACACTCCTCCCCAGACCACCAGGAGTGAGTTTCTTATTGTATTTACAGTAATCTAATTACAACAGTTCTTCAATTCAAAGACAGCTTTGGTATACAGACTTTAGCAAGAACTCTCCTCTAGTGCAGATTGCAAACTTTAATCTTTTAAACTAACACAGAACACCCCCTTTCCCCAAAAAAAATTTCTGAAATGCCTGTGTAAGCTATTAAGATGTATTCCCCCTCCCACACCCGCCAACACTTTGCTCATTTTTTTGTTAAGTTTCTTTTGTGCCAGTTTACTGCTTAAGGTAATAATAGAGTTCCTGAGAGATAATATTCTGCAAGGTTATAAAATGATGATACAAGCAGGTTGCCTGCCAGAAAATTCCTTTGTAAAAAAATATTTCTCTAAATATGTGTAGTTACCTTAATTTTTTTAGTTTCTCTCTTTTCTTTGTAGTTAAAGAAGCAGCTATGTAGAAAAAATATAGACTGAACATTTTACTTTAAAATTAAATAGTCTCTGCTTCAAATTGCCATTACTCAAAGTCACTTGATGCAAATCTTAAAGCTGATTAACTTTATTTAGAAGAAACAGAGGACAAAAGTAGATGGAATTTGTACATAATAAAAATGTCAAGAAATGAAGACAGAAAAGATTGTTTTACATGAAGCAAAATACAAAAGTACATCCGCAATGAATTAGCAAATCCGGACATTCTTAGTGTGCCACTGCAGCCATCTAGCTCTATACACAAGTATTGCACTGTTCACTTTCACAGTTCCATCGCAGGTTTTCCACTTAGGGCTTCTACAGTAACACTGGGTTTACCAAATCACATCTTTGGCGAGTTCAAGGCAGCTTTTCTCTTTTTCCTGTCTGGCATTTGACTTTGTGAGCTGTACTTGTGTACAGTCTTACCTGGAACTCCCTAAAATTAATGAAATCTTCATTCCCCAAAAGATCAGAAATAATTTAGGTCTCCCTCATTGCTGTGTTCTTTTGAACATATACAGAGGGCAGAAATAATGTATTCTCATATTACATTTATGAGTGTACTTAGTTTTTCCTTTGAAATCTGGTTTCTGTGAGATCCATGAATCATTTTGCTTTCTAGTATATTATCAACAGGACTTGTAATATCAAAATTGTTTTAATAAATTCCTCTTGTTGAGATTCATTGCTCTGCAAGTGGAAATCGGCTGGCCAGTCAAACCTCAGCTATTTCCTACTGTTTTCTGTGAATCTTGAAAAACTAGAAACACAAAAGTACCTTTTCCAGGCTCACATTCACTCTTGAAAAACTACTTCTAAAATATCCTTGTGCTGTTTTCCTCCAAGCAAACCGTCCATGGCAATGCTCAATAAACGATGCACTTATTTAGCTTGTAAAATCTTTGGATTTCTACACACTGCTTAATCCAAAGAACTCAGAATGAAATAGCTTAGAAAAGTTAATATGAAAGAGCTCCCATGGGAGCATGAAAACCTCCCAACTTCCATCAAAGTGTCTTGCAAATGACAGATGGTATGTAGCATTTAATTTCTGTGAGATCTAACTTCAATTTCAATCTCCGAGATAATACATCTAATCCTCACAGTCCACTAATTTATCAGGTTGGACAATGTACAGGAAATATTCTGAGCCTTACAAAAACGAAGTTCCTTACCAGTTTGGGAGATATTCTCATGCGAGACACTCGGGCTTCTCCAATGAAAGGAAAATGTTGCGTTGCTGTAGTGGGAAGTGTGAAGCAGGGATCCCAAAGTGTATGCATGCCATCTGCTGGCAATAAAGAATATGACCCGCCATCCACCTTGAAGATAGATGTGGAGGGTCCGATTTAATTTTTCAGATTGGCCTGAGCCACTCATTCCATCTCTAAACTCGCATCAATAGAAGAAAAATTAAATTGAAATTATATAAGCTCTCCTTTAATCGGTATCTCTGTGCTTCAGCATTAGGTTTTTCTAATGTTTTACATCATCAGGGCTTGGTGATTTAGGAATAAAAGGCATCTCTGCTTGCGGTTTTGCTGAATATGTTTAAATGTACTAATCTTCATGTAAGTTTATTAGACCATTGTTTCACATGTAGTGCTGCATGGAAAGGGTTCTGCCAGCAAAGCCAGGTTTATCCCAGGGGAGTCCATCTCTCTGGGTTTGTGACTTTTATGGCAGCAGTGCAAGGCACAATCTTTCCAAATTTGACAGAGAGCTCCAAACTTACAGGACCTGAAAAATACCAAATATCAAATGGGTTTAGCTTGCGCTTGCATGCCTTCTGCCTCCTGAGCTGTTAGGATTTATGGGCAACTCATTCTCCCTTTCCATAGCAATACTCCAAACACTGTAAGACGTCAATGTGGATGGAACAGTTGGCATGGGAACTTTCCCAAAGAGGAAGGTGTGCGAAAATGTTGTGTGAATTAATCTGTAAGAAATGAGACTAATTTAGGTGGTTTTGCCTAGAAATGCTAGGGTGACTTTAGAGAGTGTGGTTGGAGTTTATAATTAGAATTATCATATTGTTAGCTCATAATTAACAAGTAGTCAGAATGTTCCTTTCTACATGTTTGATTAATTTTCTTGGGTCTATGCTTGAAGAAGGGGCACGAGCTCCATCATACGCCCCATAATGCACAGTGGATATGATACACTATATTTTTTCCAAGGATGATCCATTCTTGTGAGCTTTTCCCCATTCCACAGGTCTTAGAAAGATGACTTCTCTTTCTGTCTTTTTTACTCTAGGCACTTCATGTTGTTAGAGAAGACCTGGAACCAAGCAAGCTGAGAAGGCTGTCATTATTTAGTGCCCAAACTCTAAAACAGGGTCAGAACCAACAGTGTAGCTAATGATGGGAAGTGCTTAATGAGGGGTCAGCAAAGGGATATGACTAATGAAGGGAAAAGGACTGCAGAACTGCAGTCGCTGTGTGCAGTGCACAGCAGATCAAAACTCTGTAGGTCCTTGTAACCCCAAGCCCACAGCCATGTTTTCTCCCTCCCACTCCTCATCCTCGTAGCGCAGCAATAATTTCCAAATCACCCATGGCAGCACCTGGCAAAGCTGCAGCTCCCACTGCTGGAGCTCAGGCTGACTGCACACACAAACCTCTGACACCCAGCCTCTCCCTGCTCCACAGACAGGGTCATCAGAGAGTTCTGCTGGAAGCAAGGACAGCAATCAATTCTTCCCCTCAAAAAAAAAGCTGTTCTGAGTCTTCTACAGGAGTGTTAACTGCATTACAGGAGTGAGTCAGTGCTTTAAAATGTAAGTAATTAATTCTGCTGCCATTATCATTACTGGTATTATTTTTATTCTTTTCTTAAATAGCAAAAAGAATTAAAGGAAGTATAGGCTTTGATTTGAAAAATCAGGAGAAAGAAGAAAACTATACTCCACATAGAGAAGAAGGGTTCAAAACCATTGTGAAGAATTTAGATCTAGTTGCGTATGGGATTGTATTTGATGAAATTCAGAGGCTTGAGTCAGCAGTTTGTGAAATCACATGGTTTCCTTCACTTTTGAATGTTCCTTTCATCCACTCAGTATGTCAACAGTCAGTATGGAGTGGCCAGGCAGAGATCAGGCACAGCATTAGAAAGCTGTGTCATCAAGTATTCACTCCTTAGCAGTATCAATAGGATCTTACTTTGTATTTGAAGTAGGTGACTTTTAGTTCAAAACAGACCTGAAGGTACTTCTTGTGAATGTTCCCACACCTATTTTACAGTACTCTGTTTCATTTTTGTCTTTTCTTTTTTAGGAATAAACACAGTAACAGCAAAAAGAGTCTCTGGCATGCCACCACTGTGATATGCTCAACTTGAGAGCCAGCGGTAAGTTGTTGGCTCTCCTGATTAGGAGCTGGCAGTGATCAGACCATTTACTGGACCTTAAGACCTCGTGGAGTGGTTTATTCCTATGCAGCCATCTCTGAAAGGTACCAAGAGTACCTGAAAGCAGTTGTTCATCTATAACCCGATAATTAAACAGCTGTAACGAAGTCTGGAGGTTCCTCCTGATTTTCCAAATCCTTGTGTGTTTCATCAGTCCACTGGGAAGAACAAGGAAGCAGAACAGGGAGTTGAATGTCTAATTAAACGGGTGGAAGGCATCCACTCAGATCTGCAGAGACCTCTTGGGAGAGAAAAGCAAGGAAAGAGGTGCTCAGTGCCTTCACATGCTGGGGTTGTATCTTTGCTCTGTTTGCAACCTCAAAAACATGGAAGGACTTCGTGCTGTGTAGATCTGTAAATCTGATAATGTTTTATTTCATAACAAAAATGGAGGCACAGTAGAGATAAACCTGAGGAGTGACTTCATGCTAAGCACAGCGTGTTATTTTAAATGTCAACCTCTTGGGGAAGGTTACCATGTCAACTATTTTCTTTGGAAGTTATGCTATGAAAGTGGGTGAACACACACCCCACTCAAAACTCACTCAACCTTCCACTGCATAAAACAGAGCAAAAAAGCTTAGGAAAACACATTAGCAAGACGAGCACACAGCTGGGAAACAGCAAGAAGGACATTTTATTTAAAATTTAGTAAAACCTGAAATGTCACAAGAGTTGCTGCACTTCTATGCAGCACACCACACCTAGGAGATTAAACAGCAATACTGTCATTTGTACCTATTTATTCAAGGCAGGGATCTGACCTTTCCAGGCTCATTTGTTTCAGCAAACTTTGCTCATGCTACTCATGACTGCTCATATTCATAAGCTTGCAAGATTAGAACATCAAATAATTGCTGATAATATGAAGACAGTGTGACAGAAGGAACAATAGTGTTTCTTATTATGTGATTATATTTCTTTAAAGCTCTGAGAAACCACTTCAATTACTTTGATCATTTTCCTGTCAAAGGTAAATTTTTAATTGGCCACTGCACTTCTACAGATATGAAGCTTTTTTGTGATCTCTGCAAATCTCAACGAATACATCAAACCAGATACTGTAGGTCTACTAAATATTATTATTGTAATTGTTTTGTTCAGTGTTTGTCAACGTCCACGCAATCATTTTTTCAGTCATACGGAAGAAATGCCACCCTGCAGGTTGGGCAACAGATCCATATTGCTTCAGGGGATGGGTGGCTTCAGTCTTGTCCCTTGACCCTTAAATGACACTGTGGCCTGACCTATAAAATGAGGACAATTAAATCTATTCATTTTTATAAACACTAGTACAACACACGGTTGAATGGCACAATGTAAATTTAAAATCTTAATTAAACTGAGGCAGAGCACCAAGTAATCACAATGCACACACACTTCTTGAAACCAGGTCATTAATAGTTCTGCTGCTGGAACCAGCTGGCTACAATTCTAAACCATGCTTCTCGCTATTTTTTTTAAAAATGTGTAGTTATAATGTGATAATGTCTTGAACTTGTGTGCACAGGTAACAAAAAAGATACCTCCAAACACTTAACAGCCCAAGACTGAAAATCTGTTATTTTTTTTTCACAATTTGTATTAGTATAACTCTGTTACAGAAAAGAAGGAGGATACTCTAGCTTTTTTGTTGGTAGCTGGCAGTGTTGGGGTATTCAGTAGAATGTTTGATCTCTGTTACTGCCTGACCCCTCAGCCAAAAATAGTGTGCAACCAACTCACTTCTCCGAGTTTCTTCCCTTGCATGTTGTGGTCACCCAAAACTAGCAGACAGTTTCCTTTCCTACGAGACAAGATGCATCTGCAGGTGAGGCATCATGCTTAACCAAGCACATCTCTTCACATGCAATGAAGATATTATATATGTTTGAGTGGGGTATGCTGCTCTTTCATCCCTGCCTTGTTTTGTCAGTAGTAAGTCAGCCAGCAGCCTCACTGCCAGTAAATATTAACCTCCCTCCTTTCTTCCAGCACACTATTAACCTAGCTTTTCCACTCAGGGAGCAGATTTTTAAGCCCTGTGGTAGATTTATATTTGGAATTTGCAAAAGTACAGTCTTTGCCTAATCCCTCTCCACTACACCACCAGCATGGATCTGCAATGGGGAGGTGCTGACTTCCATGGCATACAAGTTAGGAGATGGCATCCAAGAAGGTCCATCTCTGGCCTTGGCTGCTCCACTTGAAAATCTTTAGAAATTGATCAAATATAACAGCACATCTCGCAAACTTTCCTGTTGCCTTCCCCATTCAGGCCTGCTGATGAACAAACAGTTCAGCTGGAGTTTGTTGTACTCACATGCCTATAGACTTCACCAGTCATGTACCAGACACAAACCCCACAGCTCTGCCATTTCACAACAGCTACCTACAACAGAAAAATGGAACTGCAAGGCTGAGGAATTCAGGAGACACTCATCACATTTTAAATTTAAGTTCTGTACTGAGAGAGAAAGGCTTATTTTAGGGTTCTTTCCTAGGTCTACATCAAATCCAACAGAGTAAAACTTGAACTCTGGCTGTAGTTCCCCACAGCTACTGCAAAAGAAGCAAATACAAGTCTCATAAAAGAATACAAAATATATGTATTTTGACCTTCCTTCAATTATTTTCTGCATCTATAATCATAGTGCATTCACAGACAAAATGTAAAAACCTATAATCTAAATGAAGGAACCACTCCTCCACAGGGGAAGATAGAATGTTATAATTTTTCCATTTTAAAATTGTTAAGAAGGTAATTACATACTATTGCATATTACATACATAAAGCATGTTATTTATTTCTCAGAAAGATTCACTAATACTTAAGAAGTCTTTTCTGAATATACCAACACTAGACCATTTTTGAGCCTGTTTATAAATTAAAATGTTCAATGAATGAAAAATTAAATGAGACCAAAAATAGTCATGATGATGACATCTCTGCAACCAAAACCTTTCCCTCAGCTTTAACAATTTAGCAAAGTAACAGGCATGCTGCTCATTTGTTTTTTGTTGTCTGCAGAGATGTCAGCCTGAAGTTATTTCAGTTATTACACCTGTCAGTGAGGCTCTTCTCCTTGTAGCTGTGGCTTTACAAGGAAGGTGGCTCTTTCTGTTGGCCCAGCAAAACATTTGACTGACCCAAGTTCTGTGCTGTCCTAAGTCTTCCAGTGTTTGAAAAGAAGAGATGTTAATTTCTGTGATGCCTTTTATTTTCAGTTAATAGGAGGCAAAACATTCTTTGATGCCTTGTGCTGCAAAGTTTATGGGTGGTTACCTCTATTGCAGAAAAAATTCCTAAGCAGCAACTCTTTCTGCTGCCATGAGAAGCTTCAGGCCTTGCATTTGTAGCAGAGCATCACATGTATAGAAAGCACTGTGTACAGCTGGACCTTAGGGCAAGGAATGAATAGCAGCTGTAAGAAAATATCCTTATCTCAAAGACCGAAAAGATGTCAACAGTTGCAGGTGTAGTCTGTTAGAACCAGGCAAGTAAACACTAAATAGTAAACACTCTCTGCAAACACTGAGCTCAGAGCTGCAGCCTCCCAGATGGAAATCAAGACCCCAGAGTAGAACTCAAGTGTCTGTGTAGTATTATTATCGAAATACATGACTAATCCATGCACTCTGTGTGTCTCCTATATCCTGACAGCACCCATGGTGTGCTCCCTACCAGACATCACCCTCAGTTTTTCACTTGGATTCTTCCACATTAATGCTTTCACCCATTCACATCCAAAACAGAGTATGGATGCTTATGTGTTAAGTAGGTCAGGAATGCCAAGTCCCTGTGATCCACAAACCCCTCTGAGCCCATGCAGCATTGCTCTGATAGATCACATTGATGCACAAATGAAGGAGGAAGCAGAGGTCGTATTTTGTCTATATAACTTTTCTAAGCTCACGAAGCATGCAGTAAGGTATTCAGTATTCCTGTGCTGCTGAAAGCAGTTCTGTTTCTAAACACAAAGCACCTGTGACTTTCCTCTCGCCCTTGGCCATCTGGCATTCCCTTGTCTAACAAACTTGAAAGTCAATGCTGATCCCCAGGGATCCTTAGAGATGTACATGGAGAGGTCCCACAGAAGGGAGTGAGCATCCGAAAACCCATCTTTCCCAAGCTATCCTCATTGGTGCAGTTACCTATAAAGCCATGCCCTTAAACCACGAACCACAAATTTATTCTCTTCACGTGCCATGTGAGAAGCTCAGCTCACTCAAATAGTAGCTGGGATGGAGGGTGCAACGTAAATATTGCTTAACATAAACCTGGATCCTTAGGATTAGTGTAGCGGCTCCACAAGATGCCGCTGGCAGCGGACCGGGTGCAGCTCCGTGTCGGACTGTGCTGCTCTGTGCTGCAGAGAGCTTCTGCAGCCTCCCCGTTGGGCCAACAGCACGGGCAGGGTGTCCCAAGGGGTCATCTCTCCACCGGGACCGCTCCCCAGCCCAACTGAGCGCCACAAGCCAACCTGCACCCCGCAGCAGCTCGGTCAGCTCCAGCACCGCCGGCACCCCTTCCCTCCTCTCCTCGGCCCTGCCCCTACCCCGCATCTTCCTCCACCCCGGTGCCCGGCCCCGGGGCAAGAAGGCGCGCCCGGGCCCGCGGGGCCCGCGGGGGTGGGGCCGGCCCGCGGGCCCTCGGGGGCGCGGCGCTGTGAGGGAGGGCACGGGAGGCGGGGGCGGCGGGCCCGGCGCCCCCGGGGCGGGCAGGGGGCGGGAGCGGCGGCGCCCCCCGGCCGCCGAGGGGCCGCGCCGGGCGCTGGGGCGGGGTCTGCGGGCGCCGGCAGGGCGGGCGGCGGCGGGCGCCACGTCGGCAGCGGGGACGGGCGGAGGAGTAAAGTCTGAGCGGAGCCCGGGCGGGCCGAGCGAGCCGTGAGCGCCGTGCAGTGAGTGGGGGGGCGAGGGGGGAGGAAGGGATGAGCGGCCGCTGCCCCCGGCCCCGCCGCCAGCCGGGCAACCCCCGAGCGCCCTCCCGGATGAAGGGGAACGTGGATGGGAGGAGGCGGGAGAGCGCCCGGCGCGCCCCGGCGGAGCCGCCGGCGGCAGAGGCGGGTCGGGGATGCGGAGCCGCCGCCACCTGCCCCGGCGCGGGCACAGCCCGGCCTTTGTGC